CCTCCCATCCTGTATCAGCAGCCACATACTGCTTTATGCGGACGACGCTAAGATATGGCGACCTATCCGCAGGCCAAGTGATCAGGCACTTCTCCAGACAGATATCGATGCTGCTTATTCTTGGGCCTCGAAAAATTCGCTCCCGTTTAACATCGACAAGTGCAAAGTCATGCACATTGGGCAAGGTGTGGCTAATCCGTACAATATCGGCGGTGTGCATCTTAAAGCCACATCCCAGGAACGCGACCTGGGGACCATAATATCCGCCGACCTGAGCCCGAGCGCCAATGTAGCTACACTGGCGCGAAAGGCTAGCGTTCGCCTGGCCCTCCTTGGACGTGCACTAGGGTCTTTCCCTAGAGAGACATTTGTCCGTCTCTATAGCACTTTAGTACGTCCGCTGCTGGAGTACAACATACTTGTCCAGCCGCCGTACCTGAAGAAGGACGAGGCCATGCTGGAAACTGTACAGCGCAGAGCCACTAAGAGAGTGGACGGACTATCCCACTTCTCGTATGAGGAGCGTCTGGCGGCCCTTAACCTCTTCCCGTTGAAATATCGCAGGCTTCGTGGCGACCTTATCTTAGCTTATTCCGTCCTGACTAATAACAGACACCCAAACGCAGGATTGCTGGTCCGCGCCCGTACAGATCATCTTCGAGGGCACTCACTCAAACTGATGACTCGTAGCAGTCGCCTTCTGTGCCGAAGAAACAGTTTCAGTGTGCGTACTGCCTTCGCTTGGAACGCCCTCCCCGAAGCTGTTGTCTCAGCGCCCAATACGGAGGCCTTCAAACAGCGCCTAGACGCTTGGCTCTTACCTCGCTGGTCTTCCACGTTGCTAAGATCTGGCCATTTGCCAAGCTAACACGCGGCGCTTCCATCATTTTGCTTCTATCCAACTTTGCCGAATTTACCTACACCACTCTCTTGTTCCAGGTATCCACGTTCCCACAGTCAACTCGCTGAATTCTTGTGCTGAACACCACTACTGCGTCGAGACCCACAACATCTGGTACCTACCGACGAGATCAGGACCTTGCCGTAAGATCCCGAGGCAGAACCACCGAAAAGCTACGCTTACTCGTTCTGCGCAAACCCGTGAAACCCGTGAAAGCGAAGAACACATGCACGCACATATATACTGACACGTAAATCCAGTGTGTTTCTAGTTAACCTTCAATATTTTATGTAGTTACCGACCATAAATGTATACCACACTACATGCACATGGACACAAAGAATACCACTTCACCTATGATGTTTTCCTCACATGTACTTCCCCATTTATGCATTCAAAGCAACGTGCCTACTGCGAAAAGTTGTCTGTAAAACTTTGATCATGTCTGATAAGGCGCGACTGGATGCTAGCGAGAACCAAATATTTATTTATCTGTAAGTGACCTAAGTCGCTGACTCGCAAGAGTAAGGTCGTGGGTTCGCATCCGGCTGGTGCGCGCTACTGACGGGTCCAATAAGACGGAACGGCTGTCTAGCGCTTATCTGGATTTGTGCTGGCTGTCTGGATGTCTAACTGTGACGAGACTACACAAACAACTTATGAAGCCCCTACTACTTACGAAGTTATTTATCTATATTTATATTTGTAGCCCGCACAATTGACGTTGGGTTCCATCACTCTAACTCCCACACTGCCTCGTAATTGGCCAGTCTCTGACATTTCATTCCTTACCGACATGTATCCCCGGCTTCACTCAACAGTGTTATTTGCAAGAACAATGAAAGAGTCCCAACATCGACCTGACGCCAGTGGTCTTCAGTTCTTAACTTTCGACGTCTTTCCTTTTTGCGCTTTGTTTCGTTATACGATCTAAAAAGCTTTTGTCGTTATCGCTGTTATTACTTCCGTACTTCTGTTTCTTATTTTACGTTACCTGTGCAGCTGGTACTGCTAAGGCAGTTCGCGTGGTGTCAATTGGTTAACCGTGGTGTGGTTCATGCGTGCAGTGGTGAATCTTCTAGATTCCAGTTATGGCGGACGAAACGTATCACTGACCAACAACGCGCCACGGAAAAAAATCATAGGCCTTTATCCTACCGTTCCAGTACCACTCGAACTTGAACTATCGCAAGCAAATGGGAGGACTTGATTGCCAGAGTGTTGCTAAGGCGCTACATTTTTCTTCAACATGATGCCATAGCTTCTTGGCAACTTCCATGATAATGGTCAGCCCAGGAGGAATCTCTCGGAATTCTCCTATCGTTCCAGTCCTCCTCGAACGAGCTTGACAACGAATGTGAACATATCACTTAACTCGTAAAACAATAGTAAAGTTGTATGCTCAGTAATTTTGTTAAGCATTTCGGTAGATTTAAGTAACTGGGTAAATTGAAAAAGGATGTTAGTATAAAAATAAAATTTGTTTATATGCATGCACCATATACTCAAATAGACTGACGGGACCGTTTGACGGCACAATGGTGGTTTCATGGGACGGTTAAAATGCACAATGGAAGGTTCATACAAGTTCAAGTTCAAGCGGGACTGGAACGATAGAATGATCCAGTGAGTGTTCCCTATTCGGCGGGTCGTTGAACAAGGAGGAGGCGGAGTTTGAAGTATTAAGGGACTTAAAACAAAAGACCGCATCACAACCTGTCCAACCAATTAATGCCCACGCATCCTGCCCTAGCAGTCCCTGCTGGGCCGGTTACGTGAAGTAAGAAAGAGAAAAAAGCAAGCTCAGAAGACAAAAGAGAAAGTGGAGAGAGCTAAGCAAGTGGAATACCAAGATATTGGAGTCCTTGAAAAAAGAACTGAAAGTGAAGGTGAATCAGTTAGGGAAAGGAAAAGTTTGCTGTTGCCACCCAAGAGCATCGAGCTGGCGCGCAGAACCCTTAACCGTAGGTGCAGTTGATTGTTATTCGTCCTTGCGCTCCGTTCTCAGTGATATGGACATACAGGTTAGTATGGTATGCAAACATTTGTGCGAGCTGGGTCCAACTTCTTCCCCGGGACCTGATGAATCGCATGCTCTACTTCTCAAGATTGTGGCCGAAGGTATTGTTATTCCTACCTGCTACACATTTCGGCTCTCACTTGAGTCTGGGCGTCTTTCGCTTGCCTGGAAAGTGGGTATAGTCAAGCCCATATACAAAGGAGCTCGACAAGATCCGACAAACTATCTGCCCATTTATCTAAGATCAGTTGTCTGCAAGGTTATGGTGAGAACGCTTAAGCGATCTCACAACCTGCATTTCCGGAAGCTCAAGGTCCTGTCTGCTGCGCAGCATGGGTTTTGTCCTTCGCGTTCATGTGCCGCCATCTTCTGGCAGCTCGAAAAAAGTGGGCAAAAGCCTTGGATGCTGGTAACCCGCTAGGTGTCGTATTGCTGGATTTCAGTACAGCATTTGAGAAGGTTCCACACGAAATTTTGCTTAGCAAACTCACGCAGCAAACTTCGCAGTATTGGTATTTCCAGAAAACTACTCTCTTGGCTCACTGATTTCCTGCATGACGGCGCTTGTCGTGCGCAAGTAAATTATTCCTTTTCCTTCCCTGAACATATGACTAGCGGTGTTCCGCAAGGCGCTGTTCTTGGTCCTGGACATTTTAAAGTCTTTATTAATAACATGGCGTCCGTACTTTGGGCAGATTGTTGGATTTACGCAGCTGCTGTAAAGCTATGGATGGAAGTCAGTTGTCTGGATGAAGCTGATGTACTACAAACAAGGCTAGGTTCGCTGCATGATTGGTCGATTAGGTGCCAATTACTTATAAATCACGATAAATGTTCTGTTCTTCTGATTAGTGCCTCCGAACCTTTAGGATTTTATCCTTTCGGTGGGGCTTTGTTGCCAAACTCTAATGGTGAGAGGGACCTTAACGACGCTGTGCCCCCAGACCTAAACTCGACTGTAGATACCTTAAGGAAAGTCGCTTCTGCCAACACGTTGCTTCTCGCCATACGACGAGCCTCTGTCGCTTGACTCCGAAGGCTTCAGACTCCTGTTCACTTCTCATGTACATCTGATTCCTGAGTATTGACTGCCCGCCGTTTATGCTCTTTCCAAATTGGCATGCAACGATTGAAAAATTTCAGCGCAGAAGATGTAAATCCATACTGGAGTTACGAAACCTGTATTGCTCACATCGTCTGCAGCGCCTGAAGTTGTTCGCTCTGGCCTATCGTCAAGATAGCGGGGATTTGATATTCACACGGCGTATCGCCAGAGGTGAACTTGGAGCTGAACTGTAGAATTGCTTTCCACTCAATTCTATCAGCGACTAGGGGTCACCATTGGAAATTGTTTAAACAGAAGAAACTTCGGGTCCGTTGTGACTTCACTCTGTCTACCAGGTTACAGAACGAATGGAACAACCTACCTGTGTATGTCGTTACTGCGCAGTCGGAGAAATGTTTCAAACATCGATTGGATTCTTACCCGGTTAGTGCACTCGGGGCTTGTTGATCCTTGTGTCAGTGCAAAGGTTCTATGGGTACCGTATTGTAATGTCCACCTTTGGAAAATTGGAACGTTGTATATAATGGGAATAAAAGCCGGAGCTTTACATGACCCATAGGGTAAAAATTTCGGGTCGGGTCTAATGAAAAACCAAGCAAACTTATAGCGGGCTGGACTCGAGTGTTAGCCGTATCTTCATCGGGCTTATGCGGCAGTTAAACAGAATGCACGCCGGCTCAAAGCGTGACATCCCACCCTGAGACGAACGGGAGGCGATGGAGCTGACAAAGTTAGTTTTGCTCTTTACATGCCAATGGTCCAATGAATAAATATTCGTTAATGCGGGACTGTAAAACAATAAAAATTTTGGAACTTGCAGAAAATATACTGGGCGGCTACGTCAAATTTGTAATCTTTAACATAAAAAGATTTCTCAGTGTTTTAAAAAACATTTAATTAAAACAATAGTTAACATTATTCACCCTAAATAAGTCTACGTAATGGTGCGCGGACCTTGGCTGTGAATCGAGCTTTTTAGCTGGAGTATTGTAGAAAACAGTGTTTGAATAAGTACTAGGAGCTAGATTTGACTATGGTAAAATTTCCTCCGATCCAAGGTGTCTTGGATCGATTAAAGCGTTTTTTGGCATTGCGTTTCCTTGACGTTTACTGGTAATTTTGGCGGTTGTTTCCATTTTTAATCCCGTTTTACACCATGTTTTGCTTTTTTATTATTGTCATTTCACGGTTGTATACCTGTTTTTTTTAATTCTGCTCTGTTTTCCACTTAAACCTGGCCGTTCAAGCGGGACTGGAGCGATAGGATGATCCCCTGTGTTCCTTCTTCGGCGGGTCGTTGAACCAGGAGTTGGCGAACTTTGAAATACTGATGAACCTAAAACAAAGACCGTATCCCACCCTGTCCAACCGATTAATGCCCACGTATCCTGCCCTAGCAGTCCCTGCTGGGCCGGTTACGTGAAGTAAGAAAGAGAAAAAAGCAAGCTCAGAAGACAAAAGAGAAAGTGGAGAGAGCTAAGCAAGTGGAATACCAAGATATTTGAGTCCTTGAAAAAAGAACTGAAAGTGAAGGTGAATCAGTTAGGAAAAAAGAAAAGTTTGCTGTTGCCACCCAAGAGCATCGAGCTGGCGCGCAAAACCCTTAGCCGTAGGCCCCCTAACCACGTGATCTGGAAGCGAATTCCAGCGATCTATAACTTGGCGCGACAGACGAGTTTCCGTCCTAATCCTATCGGACCGTGGTTTATGCGGTTTCAGTGGGTGACCGCGGAGACTAGGTAACGTAGCGGGGCTGAATAGCCCTGATAAGTCCGGGCCAATCTTACCCGTCAGAATATGATAAGTGAGAATCAGGTTCCCTCTTATCCTTCGGTAGTGCATTGAGTACATCCCCAAACTGAGCAAGCGTTTAGGATACGTTTGTCCCTGTAGACCCTGCACTAACCGAGTGCCCACTCGTAACACCCTCTCCAAGTCCATTTTGGCTCGGTTAAGACATAGTGGACAAGCCTGAATACAATATTCCAAGTGGGGTCGGACGAATGTCGAGATTGGCTTCAGAAACTAATTGGCCGTTAAGATTCCGAAAGAGCGGCGGATAAACCACATCATACGAAACCAACGACAAGCAGCCTTCTTCCAGTTGTCTCCAGAATGAAGTGCTGATGCGTGTGCGACTCGTAAATCAACCTGCTGAGTGACAACAAGGAGTCCACCACCGCCGACAACATATCGGGTGGGAGGATTAGCAGCTCCGATTCGGAGAACAGCGTACTTGGCCCTATTTATGGGCATCAACCATAGGGTAGACCATTCCCAAAGCCTATCCAAGGCATGCTGAATTGCCTCAGGACCCCCGGGATATCCACCATATTCCAGAGCTTAAGGTCGTCAGCAAACATTAGTGATGACACCCCTAGCTCTCCTGGCAAGTCATTTACATAGATCGCGAACAACAATGGCCCCAATAGCGAGCCCTGCGGGACCCCACTAAGGAAAGCTTGCCTGAGCGAAAGGCTACACTCCACCCGTACGCACTGTTCCCTCCCCTCAAAGAAGGCGGACACCCATTGAAGGGCGCGACCAGATATCCCGTAAGATCTCAACTTTAGTGAGAGCCGAAGATGTGGAACAGTGTCAAAAGCTTTCGAAAAATCTACGAATAGCACGTCTACAGCGTGGCCACTGTCTTCCGCTTCGGCCCAGCTTCCACAAGCTACAAGTCGATTAGTCTGACATGAAAATCCTTTGCGGAATGCATGTTGCGTGACACGAGAATGTTGAATCGATTCCGGTGGTTCTCCACTGAATCCCTCAACGGCTTTTCAAACAACTTGACTATTACGCTTGTCAAACTGACAGGCCGATAGTTCGCGGGTAGAGCGCTGTCACCGCCCTTAAAAATCGGATAGATGATTGCCTCCTTCCATTCCGAAGGTAGGATGCAGCTGTCCAGCGATATTGAAAACACGTATGTAAAAGGACCACACAACTCAGTGGCCAATTCATGCAGCAGCTTCGGATGAATTGGATCAGGACCGGAAGCTTTAGAGGGATTACTGCCTTGCAGTAGCTCGAAGACCTGAGTCTCCGTTATGCTAAATTCAGCTAAGCAAGAATCCTCTGAAACTATTGAAACCAATTCAACCTGTGGTAAAGAGGTCTCCCGAGCAAAGACCCCAGTGTACTGATCCCTAAGTATACAAGCCTTGTCCTAGTCAGTTTGCGCACGGGTCCCGTCTGCTCGCAATAACGCTGGTATGGACAGTTTTGCCCCGCTGCGTCTTTTAACGTAAGCAAAAAACTTCTTGGGATTAGCTGTGGCCGAGTCCGCTAAACCTTGTTCGTACTGGAGACGAGCAGTTCTGAGATGTTGTTTACATTTATTTCTGATCTCTCGATAACTATCATAGGTACTGGCTGATGGAGCTGCTTGGTAGGTTCGCCAGCATCTAGAGCGTTTCTTGAGTAGGTACTTGCCTGTGGTATCTATTCACGGAGGCTGTGCCCTTAACCCTCTTTTCCTCATGAGTGGAATATTGGGAGTGGAAACCTCCGTAAGGTATGCCTTAAATTTATCCCAGGCTAACTGGACAGGGTCAGCCATCGAGATCTCACAGTTCAGAACTGAAGCCTTAGCTCACATTGCACTTAAGTCCGCCCGCCAAATATTCGGAAGTTATTCAACAGCGGTCTCTTGGTGCCTTGAAAGAGCACATCGAAAGGATATGCATGCGTGATCGCTGGACCCTAGAGATGCACCGTATGGAACGTCAGTCACGAAGTCCAGGGACTTAGCTAGAACCAAATCTAATGTAGATGGTATTTGGTTGTCCATCTACTTCGGCTTGGGCAACCGGGTAGTATCTCGCCCTCTGAGGAAACCACGGACATTGTTGTGTTGTGTTTTATTCTACTGTTTCTGTACCTTCGTTTGATACCCATGGTTTCTGATGGCATTATGTCTGTTAGCAGACTTTTGCAAATATACCTAGTGGGAAAAGCCACGAACTGGTGCAAAGGCACTTGGAGAGTCAGTTCAAGAAAGTCAGCACCGAATGTTCCTAATGCCGAATTGCAAGAAAGGTCGGCCCAACAGACTTCCGGGAGGTTGAAATCCCCTAGAACTAAACACTTATTCGCAGATTGAGTGCGAATAAAGTCAAGTATCCCCCTAGAAGAACTTCCAGGACTTCTGCATATCACTATACCTGTAAACTGGGTAGAGGAAGTGCACAAAACAGCCGATAGAGCTTCATCAGTCTGATCCGACGACTGGAATGTACAGGTCCTCAACATATCTAAGTTACAGCTCACATACAGTACAACGCCTCCGCCTTGGCGACCAACGGAGCGATCAGTTCTAAGCAGCGCGTAGCCAGGTAAAAATACCTCACCATCCGTGATATCCAGAGACAACCACGTTTCAGTGAAAGCAAGTATGTCGGGACGAGATTTGTCTACAAGTAGACCCAACTCGTGCACCTTGTTCCTTAGGCTACGCACGTTGCTAAGTACCACCTCAAAGAAGTCGGCACGACCATCCCTGGGTCGTGCGCCATCAGGATTGGTTCTGATAGGGCGGAAAATAACTTCCGGCTGACCACCTGAAAACCCACCAGACGGAGGCCTTGCTTACCAGCCGCCCGTCTAGTTTTGAGGTCTTTGATAGCCTCCTTTAACTTCAATCTATCTGCCAGTGGTAAGTCCGGCTGAACGCTGACACCACTACCCTTAAGTTTGAATGCAAACCGCAGTAATGATTTGCGTTCCTCCGGGGTAGAAAGGACCACGTGAAGTAGTCGGGGTCGTGGATTTGACGTAGCGATAGGGACGTTCCCCAATCTGGTCAGCTTTCTGACAGTGACACCAGGGAAGCTAGGTGGAAGCAGCTTGCTGACACAGTTTCAGCGACTTGATGTCATCCAAGATGCGTTCCCTTGGGAGAGCGGCCGCAGATTCAGTAAGGTTACGGAACATAACGCTACTATCCGTGAAAGGGTCGGCACGACGGGGAGTGTTTACCCCACGTGCCTTGGAGTCGACACCTATACCAGCTGTTTTCACCACTTATACCAGCTGTTTTCACCACATCCGATGCGGATGAACCCTTTGTGTCTTCGTTTGATGAGTCCAATATAGCTTGCTGCAATTCTGTCTGTTCAAGACCATTTACGGATTCATCTGATAGTATGCAGTATGATGTTTGCTCCCACTGGTATCACAAATGTTGTACCGGCCTCCGAGCTATCGTCCAGTGAAAACCTGTTTAGATGTGCTGATTGCTGACTTTGTAGATGACGATACCTACGACTCCATTCTTGGAGCTAACGATCACGTTTGCTTGTCTTTCCAGTGTACCCTTATCAAGCTTAACCAAGCTACTACCAGTTGCTATCCGAACGTTTGGGCCTCGGACTTCCAAGCGCTGCGGGATAAAGCTAGGTCATTACCTTGTGTGATATCTAAAACCGACACTGTTCACATATCCTAGGAAAAAATTAAGGCTCACTCTGTCTACATTTATGCACCTCACATTCCACTGGTAAAAAAGAAGGGAATCGAGAGCACAGCCTCTGTGGATAGATTCCGCGGGGAAGGGCCTACTAAAGTAGCGGTCTAGATGCTGGCGAGCGTATCGAGTAGCTCCGTCGAACAGCACGTTTAAAGGTATCGGTTGGTTCTTAGATTGGCCCGGCCTCAGTGTGAAAAGGGGTTAGCTGATACTGCCTCGACAAAACCCAAGAAATTCTTCGCTTACGTTAGACGACGCTGTGATGCAAACTCGCCGTCGCAAAGAGACTGGACCTTAACGTGATGCGACGGTTTGCGTACCTCATTGACCCATTGAGCTATACTGGGTGATGCCTCCGAGCATCTTGAGAGCTACTCCTACCAGGTTGGTCAATGGTGAGAGGTCAGACAAACTCAGTCTCCTGGTCCTCCAGGTTGGGGGTTTGAAATGGGATGGCGTCCATTTCTGTAAAACTAAATCACTGCCACCCCGCTGCCTTGCGGACAGGCTTTTGAGCCAAAGGCTTTGGATGAGGACCCTAATCGTTCTCCTGTCTTGGTCTAGGCGCCCTGGCAGTATCCCAGCCCACATACAACCATGACATTCTCTTCAAACATAAACTTCATCCTGCATCGGC